TTTATTCAGTTTGTAGCTGATTTATGCTATAATCTCATGTTCCATATGTTCTTTCTTTCTTTTTTTTTAAAAAAAAACCCTTATTTTATTTTGGCATCAAGGGGAAAATAGATGAATTATTTAAATCTTCTTTCACCGAGTTAAGGCAAAACAGAAAGAATGCAATGGGCAATATAACTGACATTTTGGAGAACATTGGGGTCATCATATGACTGAGAACATGATTAATTTTTTGAAGGTCAGGAAACTAATATTTTTCCAGTGGATTTACTAAGGGAACCAACCACCTGGCTTCTAGTTTTGAGACAACTGCTCCCCAGGAAAAAGTTGCTTTTTTCTTCACAGAGATTCTACTTTGTTTTGCATCTATAACATATAGATTGTATTCCATGGAAATAAGAAATACAATTACTGTAGCCCTCATTTTTTTTCTCATGCCTCTACTGAAGACCCACTCTGGTTTATCTTTTACTCAACAGCACTGCAGAACTTAAGGGGCATTCATATTATTTTAGTCATTTTGCCTCAGGCTCTCGGCACACTTTGCCGTGTCTTGCCACACCCAGTAAGAGTGGGTAAAGCTTTAAGTATCTCCTGTGTGCCAAGGCAAATTAAGCAATTAGTATGGCAGTCCCTAGCAGAGTGGGGAAGAGGGCTTAGGATCTCATGAGGCCCAAGGGATGGGGGAAGACATGCCACGAGCTCCTTTCACAGTCAAAACGCAGTGGAAAATCTCGGAGGCAAAACAGTTACCTTATAACGAAGAAAGAAGGCAGAAATATCTTTACTTGGTGACGAGACTGGAAATAACAAGCTGCTTGTCTGTATGGAGAGACTCTTTTTCTCTGAAAGAGGCCTTCCTCAACTTCATCAGATCCCTGCCCACATAACAGGTGGCGAACAGGACTTGAAGCATTTCTGTCTGTTTCCAGTATATCCTATCTCTGGATACTCTATTACTAGACCTGTAAGTGCAGACTAGAGAAAAAGGCTCATGTTCGCTTTCTCTTAAAATTTTATTTTATAAAGTGAGATTTCCTTGCAGCTGACTTCACTTGGTCTCAATAAACTACTGTTACTACTTTTGAGGTATGCATTCTACCCCACTGGTGTGGATTCCACAGCCCTGAAGACCCCTTGCCACTGGCACTAAATGAGAGTCCCTAAGTGATGAGGGGTAAATCATGTCTCACTGTGTCACCTGTAAGAAGTTCTGTCACTGATGCCTCTATTCATATCCCCTAGATGCTGCTAGCTCCCACCTTCATACTGGCCACACTTTCAAGTGTTCAAGAAAGACATTGTTGCATGCCTCTAAGTTATGATAGCAGATTCAGCTGAAGTAGCATAATAGATTATTCTTCCTGTTTTGAAGGAAAATAAGCCAAAGGGTTGAAACTCGGTGTCTATAGTTGGCCCAGTATAATTTTGTTTGGGATTTATTACATTATTTTTCTTCACGGTATATGAATTGAGAGTATTAAAGGACATTTATTCTACACCAAAAGAGCATGCAGCTCCTGTGTGGTTAAAATAATATTGAGATCAGTATATTGGAAGAGACACTCCATCCAGTAACTTCCTTCAGTAGCCCTCACATTCACTGAGAAGGTTAATTGACAGTTTTTGCACACTCCCTGCAGCCCTGCCCCAGGAACTTGCAGAGGACACTTTGGAAGAGACACAATAACCCTTGTCTGCAGGCGATATGCACAGCTGGGAAAGATAATTAAAGAGACTATTCCTTTCTGAGAGATCTACATCATTTCAACAGAAGGACCCAGCAATTCTGCTGGATTCAGACTGAAAACTGTCACTAACAGACATACTTCAGACAGATTTCATAATCACCAGACCTCTGTGGTACAAATGGTTATGGTGAGCTTCTGAGACTCCCCCAAAACCACTAAAACTGTCCGACTTAAATAGCACTGAAGTTTTGACGTGAGAATTAAAAAGTATGATTCAGTTTAATATGTAAGGTTGCTACCAGAAAATGCTCCTTTGGTTTTCCAAAATTGATTGGTTACATGGCTGCAGTTCTCTCTCGAGATACCCTCTAAATGTCATCCTGCGTGATTGTTTGGGGCTTATGGAGGGTATTGAATTACATTGTGTAGGTTTCATTATGGGTGACATTATCACAGGATTACATTTTTTTTCCACATCAAACAGGCAATGTCATGAGAAGAGAGAAAATACCTCTCAAATGTTAACATTTCTGAAAGTGAGTTTGATTTATAGGGTAGGTTTATATTGCTATTATGAGACTTTATCTGAAAAATTGGGATGAAATCTTAAAGAATTGAAACTTCCCTGTGAGTTTTCCTTATAAACACTGCTCACTGGAGATGGTTTATCCCATTAGACGTTGACTACTGAGAAAGAGAAGCCTTTCTTGCTGCCTTAGGCAGTGCTTCTTCCAGAGCAAGGCTAGTCCATTTTGACCCAAAGCATGCTATAGGTAAACAGTTCCAAGGTGTAGGGATATCTGTTCCTTTTTCTTCCCAGGAGTCCTGAAACCCAGTCACTGTTTTTTAATCCCTTAGTTTTTCTTATGAACAGAACTGCCCATTTTCTCTCCAGTTGCAAGTCCTGCCTTGTGTGACTGAAACCCACCCTTTCCAGTGGGAAGACACTTGCTCTGATAAATGCTACACTTTAATTGGCCTTGGCATGGCTGGATGATGTAGCAGAAGGTGCAATAAATTTAGACGTTAGAAAAGCAGAATTTGATAGAATTATGCATTTTGTGCTTCTAATGAGTACCTAGTCTAGAAGGATTTACAGACACATGCATAATTAATGTGAATATAGTGTAAGATAATGATCTGTTAGAAGCACATGAAAAGATGCTCAATATCATTAGTCCTTAGGGAAATGCAGATTAAAATCACAGTGCCAGTGTGATACCTCTGTACATCTACTAGAATGTCTAACATGAAAAAGACTGACCATACTAAGTATTGGCTGCAGATGTGGAGAGACTGGTACTATCGTCCGTTGCTGTCGGGGTTGTAAAATGGAACAATCACTTTTGAAGACAGTATAGCAGTTTCTTAAAAAGTTAAACATATACCTACTGTATACCTACCTTATAATCCAGCCATAGTACACTTAAATATTTACCCAGGAGAAATGAAAGCATATGTCCATACAAAAAATTGTACATAGATTGCTCATGGCAATTTTATTTGTAATAGCCTGAAGTTAATCAAATATCCAATGAAAGGATAAATTGTATTTATTTATTGGCTATATCCAATAAAAAGAATCAACTATTCTTTATTGCTGAGTGGAATACCACTCAGCAATGAAAAGAATCAACTATCTATACATGTAACAACATAGGTAAGTCTTAACATAATTATGCTGAGTTAAAGAAGGCAAAAAGATGAGAGACTCTCGGAGAATTAAATAAATGCAGTAATGGTGGAAATATAGAAAGGAGAAAAAGAATTTTATGGTTACTTCAAAGATAGAATTAATGAGGCTTGGTTATGGGATGGTGGCTAGAGGGGGCTTACACTCTGAGGTCTTTCTCCACCTTGGGTTTCTCTATGCGGATCATCATCTACTTGGTGGTAAGAATTATATGAAAGATGGCACTTAAGTATATAAGAAGTGATGAGCTAATTGTTTAATGCTGATTCTTTAATCAACACCCCCAAGAAGAAACATTCAGTAGGCAAACCGTCACTACTACTGCTTAAGGAAAATAAACTTACATTTTGGCTTTTTAGTAAATACAAGTATAGATAACTAATACAAGTATAATATTAGTGAGAAAAAATTAAAGAAGAGGACAAAGAAAAATGGGATTCCTAGACCCATCTCATGGATAAGAGAGAACAAAGGGTTGAGGGCAGAAAGAGAGAGGAAGGAAATGTGATGGGGGTACCTCAGGACAAAAGAACAGGGAACCAGTTTGGAAAGGAGCAAACTTTATGGACATCTTGTTTACGCAATGCCCTTGTCACTCTGGCATGTCTTAATTTGTGTGGTTAGATTTATTTAGTCACTTGATCCAAAGTCTACAATTAATTGCAGCACATAAGAAGTACTGTCACTTGTGGTCAAGGGCGTAGGTTCTGGAGATTATATTTCCATCTCTGACCTTAACTAGTATATAAGCTCTCTGACCATCTGTTTCCTTACCTGTAAAATGATATCCCCGTGAGTTCCTACCTCTGAGAATTATTGTGTTAATAAATACTTTAAAAATTGGTATGGGAAGTACTTAGCATCGCTTCTAACCCGTAGTAAAGGCTCAATCAATTGATCTTCCTGTTCTTTCCCCTTCTTCTCCTTCTCCCCCTCCTTCTTCTCACTATTATTATTACTATTAGGCATCCACCATATTGTCAGTGATGACTGGAGAAAGCTTTACTCTCCCAATACACCATTGGAAAACAAGGGCACTTTTTAGTGTTTATTACCAGAAGTAACCATAATGTCACTTTTATTCATCTGACTCATTCTCTCCCGAGTGATTTATTTACACATTCTACTGTATTAGTCTTTCTTTTCCATGGTGTGAAAAAAAGAGCATGGCTTGGTGATGAAGCAAAGAGGTAGAAATTTAGTGACTTTGGTCCTGCCTGTGCTCCAATTCCTATTTGGTTTAGGGCAAGTAGTTTAAATTTCTTGCACCTAAATGTCTTCAGCTGAAACAGAAATGAAATGTAATGATCACATAGGACTATTAGAAATGTCTAAGTAAAAAGCATACACATTTTAACACTAAGTTCAGAACTTTATAGAAAACTAAGTGGGTTGCTTAAGTTAGTATATTTCTGTAGATATGACACTAAGACATTAAAAAAATGCCACAGTAAAGTTCACTGATATGCTAGGTTTAAAAAATAGTTACTTGACTTTCCTACTGTGTGCTTCTAATTTATGTTTTCCCATCTAATAAAAAATAGACCCTACCACTTCAAATCCCTGGTTGCATTACTTTTCATTTGAGTCAGCAGGGTTTTCTTGTCTTGTTTCAGGATTTGTGGATTTGACCCTCCATGATCAGGTCCACCTTCTGGAATGTGCCTGGCTAGAGATTCTCATGATTGGTCTTGTCTGGCGCTCCATGGAGCACCCAGGGAAGCTCCTGTTTGCTCCTAACTTGCTCCTGGACAGGTGAGTGACCTGGCTGTAGCTTGGGGGAAGCACATTCTTGATAATCACCAGTCTGATCCTGAAGCTCCTTTATTCAGCATTGCACGAAGCTTCCAAGAACTTCATCAGATATATTTACAAATGGGTGGATTCGGGTGATGTAGGGTAGTCGAGTTCACAGAAGGCTAAGGATAACTGTCTGCCTGATGTCTCCCCAGATTAGCTCTCTCATTTCTAAAATATACGTGTATATTGTATATGTGTGTGTATATTTATATATACATATATGCATGTATCAATATATATACACATATGTATGTATCAATATATATACACATATGTATTTGTGTGTATTTACAAAATTGTGAACTGTAATTTTCTAACTTCACCTTCATCTTGTGTTATATAAAAGAATGATGAGTAACTTTCCTTTAATTAAAATCTTTTTTTGGCTCATGTGCATCCAAACCACAATAGTCTTTTCATTTCCTTTTCCAATTTTGCCATCAGTAAATGAAGAAATTTGAACAGAGTTCTGAAGGCCACTTCCAGTTTTATGAATTCATACAAGTTAACTTGCTTATTTTAGAAAATGAAGATTTCAGTTTTCAAATGTGCCACCTTATTTCATGTATTCTATTTGGGTTGACTTGGAATGTGGGTCCTATTCTTTCTTATTCAGTCATTGCTTAGAGTAATCGAATTTAGACATTATTTAACAGCAGCTACCACTAACAGAGTCCCTACCCAGCACCAGCTGCTGTGCTGAATACTTTACATACATGATCTCATTTAATCATCACAGCGCTCCTGGGAAGCCTTATCATTCACGTTTTACCAGAAAGGATGCTAAGTTTCAGAGACATTCTGCTGCTTGCAAAGAGCATTGAGCTAGCCGATGGTGGAGCCAGGATTGGAATTCAAGATCTGTCTGTCTCTGGCACACTCATGTTGGCTCCTGCCCTGTGCACGCGTCCTTCACACTCTTTCCTCAACAGCAATGCCTTCTCTGGTCTGCTGCTGTGACCTTTTGTTACCAGATGCACCTTGTCTTTACGGACGACATAATCATTTGAATGGGAACGATCCATCTTGTAGTTGTTTCTTGCAGACTTTTTTTGCCTCTGCTCATCAGTCCAAGGCTGCCAGGTTGCACGCGATGCATCTTTGGGCTTTCCTTCCTTTCGGAGCACCACGCTGCCCCCTCATCTCCTGTCCTGCTCTGGCTTCCTGCCCTACACCTGCCAAGCCGCCTGGAACAGAGTTCTGGCAACATTTATTTATTTAAATACTGGAGAATTGTATACGTATTGGTTACTCTTTCATCATTTTGTGTTATTATAGTGTCATCAACAGTGATGATGCTGTTCAAGGAGCAGCTCTTTCTTTCCATGGAATATAGTCCCGTATCACAGTTTTGTGGACTGATCGAGAGCGGCCACTGGTCTGGTCCCGTAGAACTGCCCTCGCACGGTATTTAGCCTGCCTTTTAGAGGATGTCTCTACAGTGCTTCTTCACTTCTTTTCCTTCCTTTCCCTTCCCTTCCCTTCCCTTGTTTCTCTTGTCATTTTTCCCTTCCACCTCTTTTTTCCTGTTTTCCTTCGCTTCCTCTTTACTTCTTTTTTTTTTTCTTGGCCTATCTCCTCTTCCTCCTTTTCTTTCTCCTCCTCCTTTTTCTTCTGCTGCTTTTCAATTTTTTCTGTTACAGTCATGTCGTTCCATGACCAAGTTATAATAAATTTGCAGATGAAAATCATAGACCACGTACAGTGTTTCTCCACAGTAGACTGGAAGGTGTCTTCAGGGTTTAGGATATTGGGGACATTCCTGACTGAGTTGATGTGTTCCATGATTTACTGCCTCATCCATGTTTACCTTCCTAGGTACACACTTCCTGAGAGCAATCATCAGTCATTGCATTTTAGATATGAAAGTGTTTGTGACATCACCTCACCCCGATGAAACTCATTTTGCCAGCAAGGTGATATTGTGCAGGATCTTATCAACCACCTGCCTTTCTTTTCCACACACTGTCAGTGTGCTTAATTTTCTCCCATGTTTCTCACTGCAGTGTCAGTGACTAAGAGTTCTCATTTCTCTCCATTCCTCCCTTCTAAAATTCCAGATAGGAAGTTCCTACTACCTCTAGACCAGGATTTCTCAACTTCTGCACTATTGACATTTTTGGTTGGATTATTCTTTCTTGTGGGGGACTGTCCTGTGTATTTTAGGATGTTTAGCAGCATTCCTGGACTTAACCTACTAGATGCTCTCGTAGCAGCATCTCTTCCCCCAGAGATGACAACCCCAAATGTCTCCAGACATTTCTAAATGTCCCCTGTGTATGTGTGGGGAGAAGGGAGGCACAGAATTGTCCCTGGTTGAGAACGACTACTCTAGATTTTCCCATTTCAAAATCCTATAAGCTCTTCAGACTCGCAGTATTGAATACATTATCTTCCTCACCACGTTTGTTCCTTTTCTTTTTTTCTATTAGTGGTATTCAGCTAGACACTGAAGCTGTCAAGTTCAAGTTAACCGTGGATTCCACTCCCCCCACCAGATTATCCAGTTAACTGTCAAGTCCTTCCTGCCCTGTTTCTGAAATCCACACCTCCCCTTTGTCGCCATTCCTCCCCTAGCACAGGTCCCTCCTAGCACAGTCAGCCCTCCCCAAAGGCTTGCCTCTCCAGCACTGTCTTTCTCGGCCACCGGCCCTCTTTCCTTCAGTCTCTTCCCACAGGGCTGCCAGAGGCTTCTTTCTAAGGCACAGCTGTGATCCTGATGCTTTCTGATTCAGCTTCCATTGGCTCTCTGCCTTCTTTAGAAAGTACCGTCTAGACTTCTTACCTTGATGATTATGAATCCCTGTTGCAAGTGTCGCAGACACAGACATCAACAGAGCGGGTCAGATGATGTAATGAGGAAGGCCAGTGGCTTTGGGTCCAAAATGGAGTTCTGGGGATTAAGTGAGCCTGGTGAGCTCTTTTCCAGGCTAACAAACACCTGGGCCCTGACTGCAGCCTGAGAGCCACGAACTTGACTTCACTCTTCAAGGTTTTTTTCCACTGCTTCTGAAAGGCCCTGTACCTTTAGGATTCCTTGTCAGAATCTTGGGACCTTCTTTAAGGCCATTTCAGATGTTACTCTTCCGGAAAACCTTCCTCCAAACTCTCTCCTCTTTAGCCAGAAAGTAGCCTTTTCTTTGTCTATGTTCTCATGGGGTTTGGTTTCTGCTTCTCTTATTCTCCTTCTGCCACCTGTAAGTTATGACTGTATGTCTTATCTTCCCTTTCAGCTCATGAACTTCATACAGGCAGGAACCAGATCTTGTTCGCCTTTTTGTTCCCTCCAGTGAACAAAGTCTTCCATGATCCCCGATAAGTGTTTGTTAATTGCACTGGCCAGGGTCCCCCGGTGGCTCATGGTAGAGTCAGGAGAAGCCACGTCTTCTGATGGTCATTTCAACTGTTCTTGTCATCAAACTCACTCACTTCTTGTTCAGGGCTACTTAATTCCTGGCTTAGACCCTTCTAGACTTCGAAGAAATTAAGATACATCTGTTTCGAAAGGATTTTTAAAATTACTAAGTGCATTTGGCTTATGCTTATACTTCTGCTTATCTTCCACAAACCTGTTAAATTCCGAATGAAGATAAACAGAGGATCTTATTTTTCTTCCATCACTAGACCCACTATGGAGTAAAATCCTCCAGGTCTTAATATGTTTAAGAACATTTACATACATACATTTCTAATCATGTTAATGATTAGAAAAATATATAAATAAATATAAATTATATAAATAATATTATTTTTTAAAATATGGTCTATAGTATATAATTTTCTATATTTTTCTAATTATTAACATGTACCTAAATATTATAAAATTTCAATATTATTAAATTACTCTCTTGGTATGAGAAGGTAACTGCTTTTGCTGACATTGATATATGCATAACAGTAAAAAATATTGTGACCAGCAACCCATTTGAAATTTTATACATCTGGAAGATGACTTCTGAGTGATAGTTGAGAGCACTGTTTATGTTTTCGCCTTGCAGGCTCCCAGCCCTTTTGATAACATTCAGCTTTCTGATTAACATCAGTCACCTTGATCTCCCTTTTGCTCTTTTCCCATCCTTTTGCACATTGTAAACATTTTTTGTAACAAAATGTAGAAATCCATGAGTTTCAAAGCCAGGTATTTGAGAGCTGGTAAGCAAAAGATGAATGTTCGCTGCATCATTTTTATTTTATCTCAGGCTCGGTGATACTACCTTTGCAAAGTCGGCCTCCATAGGGTGTTTACATCTGCATAGACCTGGGGACAAGGGAAAGCCAGAAGTCCCAAGGAGTCCTGTCACCCAGGGATTATCAACGTTGCTAACTAGAGACAAGGGTTTATCTGCGATAGATTATAATGATATCCTGTTTTCTTAAGCCTTCTTTGCAAATCCAGGCACTTGTGCTTTCCAAGGCTATCAAGAGGACAGAATATACCTCAGTCTTCCCTTGTAATTACTCAAATGTTAGTATTGGCAAATGGGGTTTAGTGATTATAGGAATATAAAAAAATTGCTGGATTACCATCCCACACTTGTGAGCAGAGGACTGTATTTCCTATCTAGCATCCATTTCAAAAGAGTTATTGCTTGATTTACTCCCGATGATAACCCATGATATCTTGATTCTGGTAGTTTATAGCTTTCCTGGTAGTCATATGCTTGAAGGCTAATTTTATCCTTGCCACTTAGCCTACCCACAGTTTCCAGTTCTTCCCTGTATCTTGCAGCACTGAGTCCCAAGCACTTAATGCAGTCTTCTCTTCCTGTGAAAACCAAGAAATAAAGCTTGTTATCAGGTATTAATAGAGAACCCAGTAATTTCTCTCAGTGTGTGTGTGTGTGTATTTTATAAGAGGGACGTTAAAGATAATAAGAACACCTGTGAAAGTAATCAGGAAATGGAGAAATCTCATTTTCCATTCTAGCACCTAATCCCTTGGTGTGTTTTGGCAC